TGGCTTTTCCAGCAAGCGGGCCTGGCCTAGGGAGGATTTTAAATTGGGTTTATTTTTTAGAAAATTTTAAACAGCACAACTTTAAAATATTTGGTTTTAATTGGTTTTATTTGGCGGGGATTGTGGGCATGTTTCTGTTTTTAAATATGTTGTGAGCCGCCCTGAGTCCCGTTGGGAGAAGGGCGGGATATAAATCAAATAAATAAAAATAAAATAAAAAATAAAACTCTTATCTATAAAATATACAGGGCAAAACACTGCTCTACAGAAACACCACCACTGCCAATGTGGGCCTCTCCCTACACAACTACAAGCCCATCACGGTACCTGATTGAGTCATAGACACTGCTGTAGGTGAAGAGATAGGTCCGGAGAGACTCTTCTTGGATCTTCCTGTTGGGATAAGGGGTAGAGAAACAAACAGCGGCAATGGGAATGAGGTGTAAGAGCCTCTCTCAAATTATCTAAATTTCTTTTTTTTAATTCTAATTTTTATTCACCTGTAACATAAAATACAAAAATACAAAAGCAAATAATAAGGAACAAAGGTAAGGGAAAGGGAAAAAGAGAAGTGTGGAAAGGGGGGGAAAGAAAAAAAAAGGGGTTGACTTCTGACTCCCTCTGTGGCAGTAAAATAAGGCATTAGCATCGAACCTCAACTTTTTACATTTCTGTAGTAGTATGAACTAGCCCAGGGATAGGCAACCTTGGCTCTTTTATGACTCGTGGACTTCAACTCCTAGAATTCCTGAGCCAGCATGGCTCAGCTTGGAAACCTCTCCCTTTCCCTTCAGCATGGCTGGCTCAGGAATTCTGGGAGTTAAAGTCCACGAGACATAAAAGAGCCAAGGTTGCCTACCCCTGAACTAGCCATTTCTATATCAACAAATCAATCTAATCACTAAAGCCCAAAATCAAAGTATCATTTTTTCCCACCTCAAGACAAAGTCCAGAAGCGGTTTCCAAGTAGAAACAAAAGTACTTACATTCTTTTCTTTTATCAAAACAGCCAATTTACCCATCTCTGCTAATTCCATCAACTAAATGATCTAAATTTCTGTCCTCAAGTTTTTACTCTTCAAAATTACAGATACATTTCAGGTCTCCAATTTTCCACCATGTCTTTGCTGGTACAGTTCCAGCAATATACTAGAGCAAAATTGGAAATAGTTGTACTTTTCCTAGATAGTTGGCAGATCCAAAATCAAGAATAATACATTCGTAATTCTTCCAAGGTGGGTTACTGTTTCACACCTCTAGAGAAAATCTTGCCAGATGGAGGACTCCATTATCTGCATCTACAATATACTCCATGAACTGTTAGGGAGGGACTGGGTGCACCTTCTTTCTCTCACATATAACATCCAGACTGAGTTGCCTCTTACCCCTCTGGAATACAGCCCCTCCTGGGAATCCCCCTCCTCACTACATTCCATCACATCCATGGCTCACTTCCCTCAACAATATGATCCCCTTGCAACTGACCGGACAAGCATGCTGCGCACTTTGTCAGCCTCGGGAAACAGATCCCAGACTTTTCCGTTCATTTTCTCATTGACAATGAAACGGTGACATGTCTTCCAGTCACCCATCTTCATAGCCTTGGACGCTGCTACAACATGTTCTCTCATCGATTCAGGGGGGCCTGAAGCAAGAAAAAAGAGAGAGGCGGGGAAAGATAAAAGGATGTTCCTCTAATCCATTAGAGAGGATTTTAATTATCCAAATGAATAAGCCACAATCCCTTAGAAAAAATATATACTTTGCTATTCCAGAAAATTACAGATTTCATGTATTATAAAAGAGCAAAACCATATAGTTAACTATAAGGAATAAGCAGACTGTTTCTCTGTTACAAAAGCAGATGAGTTCCCCAAATTTTATTTGATTTAGAGATTAAATAATTTGTCAGAGGAAAAAAGCTATTTAAAAAAAAAGATCATGAAGGCTTAATTCCCTCAACGTAACATATTACGTCAGGATGGCTAAATATTTCTTCCAGTATTAAATATTATAGAAGAATATAGTTTGTTTTGTTATGTATTCACATACTGTGTGAACACAACTATTTAGTTGGTAAGCTGTGTTTTATGGGCTAGCATTCTATCTCAACTCAGCCACCCTGGTTAATCATATTATAGGTAGTTCTTGACTTACAATCACTTAGTAGACTTCATTATGTTGAGGACTACCCGTAAATTGCAATTAGTGAGAACCCGTATCTCTTACTTGTACTTGCCGGGGAACACAAACAGAATGACAACGTTGCCTTCATGTCCTCCTTTGTTGGTTTCTACTTGCTTCTAGCTGGCAGAACCAAACTCTCTTTACTCTTCTGAAACCTTAGATGTAGATAATGGCCAGAACTGCATCTTTAAGGGCTCAACTGAGCACCCTTTGGACTGCTTACCAAGAAGAGGCTGGCGCTCGCCCACCCGCAGCTGATGGTGGAACTGCTTGCTGATCATTCGCCGGCGGGCATCAAACTCATGAGCAGCCATATAAGGGATCTCAAGCAGCATGGCAGAGACCAGGTAGACACACTCCAGGAGTTCCAGGTTGATATGCATGTGGAAAGGAACCTGCCGACGTTTCTCAATCTTCTCTTGCTCCTGGTTGCGCTCTTGCATGCTACGCATCAGGAGACCCTGCCCTAGCAACTCCTTTGCTCTTCCACTTGACTGAATGTCCAGCAAAGCATTATGGGCATCTTTGATCAAGCCCTGGCGGAAGGCACAGATCCCCAGCTGAACCATTGTCCGGTTATACAGGATCTGGGGGGGGGGGGGAATCAAAAGGGTTTGAAAAAGCAAAACTACCAGCACCTCTTTTCCTATTAACTGATTTCAGATCCCGTGTTTACTGTGTTTCCCCGAAAGTAAGGCCTACCCCGAAAATAAGCCCCAGCTTGATTTTTGGGGGTGGGCCTCACATAAGCCCTACCCTACCCTACTCTACCCCAAAAATAAGCCCTAGTTTTGGGGTGAGGCACACACCTAAAAATCAAGCTAGGGAGGGAGTGGGGGTGTGGAGCTGCCCCACACCCACTAACCTTGTAGGCAGGCCTTTCCTCGCTGGCCCACTTCTTCTGCACTGTGTTCTGCAGCCAGGCCTGCATTTCTCAGCCACAGGCCTTTCCAGAAGGCCACTACAGCCGAGAACCGAGCTATGGATTGAATCCATAGCTCGGTACTCAGCTGCAGTGGCTTTCTGGGAAGGCTTGACTGCAAAATGCAGGCCGGAATGCAGCTGCAGAATGAAGCTGCTCCTTCGGCCGCAGAAGAACTGGACCGGCTGGGCGGGGCTGTTGATGCCGGAGGTGAGTATAAAAGACACCCCACTGAAAATAAGAACTAGTGCCTCTTTTGGAGGCAAAAATAATAATAATAATAATACGACCCGGTCTTATTTTCGGGGAAACACAAGTAGCTGGCTCAAATAACTGATTCATATTGCAGCCCTTTCCTAATACAGATTGTCAAGCAGAATTTTAAGCTTCCATCCCTACTAGGCTGTTTAGTTGATTAAGATGGGCATCCTCCATTTTGTTTAGAGGAAGCTGTGGCTGGAGGTGTAGTTTGTCTCCAAGCAGACCAAAGAGAATAGGGCAGCAGCAAGTCTGCTGTCCATCCAAACTCTGCATAACCACCACCATCATCATCAAAGAGGCAAGTTCAATGTTGGTTCTCAACGGCTGCCAAACTGCTTGCTCCTCTCTAACCTGCACAGGAGGGTCCGCATGCTGGATATTATCTTGGAGGTGGCTCATGAGCATCAGGTCACGGGCCTGGTACCAGCGATCATGCAAGGCATGGTGATAAATATGGCAGAGAATGGCACAGGTGCGGATCCGGTCTGTCCGATCCTTGGCGTAGATGAATTTGCAAAGGCGCTCCATCAGCACTGCCGAATCCTCCCCCTCGTTTTCTGCTTGGTCTTGTTCGGACTGAAACAAGCAGAGGGTGTAAATTAGCCCCAGTATCAATAAATCACATTACTCCTAATGCAAAGTATTAAACTTGCAGTCTCCAAGCTGCACACAGCCTTTTAAAGCACTCTGAAGGTTTCAGCCAAACTGTGATTTTTATTTTGTTTTGCAAACATAATGATTGTTTTTTATATGCAAACATCAAAGTACATGAAAGGGAAAACAGGGGAGGGGAATAACAGGACATAAAAGTGACAGAAAAAATATGTCAAACAAATATATAAGTGATCTTAAATTCTTTTCAGTACAAAGGTAAATTATGCAATGCAACATCGTTCTAGTTTAAATGAATATTCAGTAAACTATCTTAACATACCAATATCCATACTATTTTAATCTAACATATAGTAAATTGTCAAATATGAATAAGCATATATTAAAATCTCTAACCTTAACCCTAAGTACAATATTTTTCTGGTCAGATCAGATTGAATTTTCAAATTCCAAAGTCAAAAGTTGGCTTTTCTCCTTATCTTGCAAGAAACCTAACAATGGCCTCCAAGTCACAAGAAATCCAAACTCTAATTTTTAATATAACAGGAGAAAAAAATGTATCTTTAACAGTGTGGTCCTTGGCCAAAAAATACTGCACAGCTCTGCCCTAAGTTTACTGCTGTTTACAACAAATTATTTTTGTTACTGTTTAACCTTCTGGATTCTCAACAATTAGTTATCCGATTGGAGGACTGGTCTCAAATGCTGGAAGTTGTTTTGTAAAAGAATGTTAAATTCTCTACAAAGCTACCTCTTGATAGGTGGCACCACCTGATCAACCTTGTTTGGGCTCAGAAATTAAGCAGCACCAGATCAGGTCATCACTTGGGTGGGAGATCCCTTTGAATTCCAGGGCGGTCGGTCAGATTGTGAAGTAACAAATGCATCCTGGAAGACATGGCTGTGTCTATGACAGTGTTTCTCGACCATGGCAACTTTAAGCTGTGTGGACTTCAACTCCCAGAATTCTCTAGCTAGCATGCTTAAAATTGCCAGGGTTGAAAAATACTGGTCTATGTGGGCAAGGAATTTTAAATAAAATGTAATGCTTGAACAATGGGAGAATATGTGGATGAAAGGTTTAAAATGTACACTAAATTATAATTTAAAAGAAAATTTCTATAAGATGATGTATCGCTGATATTTAACACCAGACAAGCTGTCAAGAATGTACAAAGGTATTTCAAGTGAATGTTGGAAATGCAAATGTAAAGAAGAGACTTTTTATCATTTATGGTGGACATGTGACAAAGCAAAGAAATATTGGAGTAGGATTCACATCCTAATACAGAAGATTCTCCAAGTGAATATGTAGATACAATCAAGAAACTTTTCTTTTGGGTTTAATGGAAAAAGATTTGGAAAAAATGTTGGAATTTTGATGTTATATATGTTAGGAGGGCATGTTACTATTTTATGCACAAAAATGGAAGAACACTTTGATTCCCACAATAGATGAATGGCTGCAAAAGTTGATGGAGTTAACAGAGATGGCTAAACTGGCTGCTTTGATTAAAGAAAAAATAAATAAATTGCTTTTGTTTCCACTTGGAAACCGCTTCTGGACTTTGTGCTTGAGGTGGAAAAAAATGAAACTTTGATTTTGGGCTTTACCAATTAGATAGGTTTGTTGTTATAGAAATGGCTAGCTTATACTATTATGTACAAGTAAAAAGTTGAGGTTTGATGTCATCATCTTATTCTATTGCACCAAAGGGAGTTGGAGGTCAACGCCTTTTCTTTCTTTTCCCCTTCTTTTCTACACTTTTCTCTTTCCTTTTCCCTCCCCTCTTTCCTAGTATTTGCTTTTGTATTTTTGTATTGTATATTATATTATAAACTAATGAAAAAAAGAAAGAGAAATACTGGTCTATGAAGTTTACTAGAAAACTGATTCAAAGACATATAAAGCTGTATGCTTTGTATGGTGTAGCTTCCAAGTACATGCCCCCAGCATCTCTTAATCAGCAGGAGGTGAAGGTAAGGGAGCACTGACCTAGACAAGCAAATGTCTCTCTCTGGAGAACGAAGATCCTTTGCAAACCAACTGCTCGTGTCCTTGCCTAACAGAAGGTCCACGTTACCTTGCTATCTCCTGCTGGGCCTTGCTGGCGCTGGTGAGCCTTGTAGTCAAACTTGTAATAGGTATGGAGGATGGAGCGCAGGTAAATACGGCAGACTTCATCTGTAGTTCCCTTGTCCTGCAGATAAGTCTGCACCTGTTCTATGATCTTGCAGACTCGGGCCTCATCCTTCAGGTGATCAACGTATTCTAGTAGAAGTATACCACACATGCTTAGTTTAGTCTTTTACAAGAGATGGGAGAGGTTTTTTCCCTTGTTTGATTAGGTGGAATCTGGCAATGCAGTACTGCAAAACCTCCCTTCCCCATTAGCTTTCATTTTGGTGGTTGTGGAGATGTGGTCAAAACAGCTTACAATTACACAATCTAAAAGGTAGAAACACGAAGGCCCTTGATCACCACATCCTGTTCTTCATGTTGACCTATCGCTCTTTGTTATCTACAATGGAGGCGCAGTGGCTCAGCAGCTTAAAGATGCTGGATTTGTCAGCTGGAAAAGTCAGCTCTCTGCATTCCAGCAGTTCAAACCTAGCACAGGTGTCCCCAATCCCCAGGTCACAGGCCACTACCGGGCTGTGGCCTATTCAGAACCGAGCCACACAAGTGGCAGGCTGGTGCGCACGCACGTGCGAGCGGTGGGCCAACATGCATGCATGTACGTGCTGGTCGGCCACTCATGTGGTCCAGTTCCCCTCTCCCCCCTTACCCGGGCCGCCAAGCCACAAATGTTGGAGACCACTGCCCTAGTGCCATGTGATGGAGTGAGCTCCCATCACTCACTCAGTTTCTGCCAACCTAGCAGTTCAAAAGCATGCAAATGCAGGTAGATAAATATGTACCACTTTGGTAGGACTAACGGCAGAAGCAAGAAACCAACTGCCGCCAGACCAGCCTAACTGCGAGAGAAAAATCTCCTGACGATGCTGATGTTCCTGGAGAACACCGCTAGCTGCTGTGTGTGGAAGCTAGTTCGCCCCGTGGTGCACTCTGGATAGCACAGAAGTGTGAATTGAATGAACTAGCAATCTTAGGCAACCAAACTACTACTCTGTAATAACACTGTAGATTCCTGGCTTTCATGTACCAACTCCATACACTAAATAAATAGTTATCTATACCTCTCTTGTAAAATAATGTACGACAGCTGAACAACGTGCGTTTGTCTGTAAGCAGGCACGGTAACATGAAAAAATAAGGGCGGATTTCAACCTTGTAATTTAGCAGGCTCCAAATTTCTGAAGAAACCAATCCTTCTCTGTCTGGTTAAAAGAGGCAATTCTGTTGGGGACAACATTCAACTAGGAGCCAAATATTCCTATTATCAGGCAAGGTACATCCTGTCCCAACCCACTGCCCTTCATTACCTCTGTTTTCAATAGATGTCCATCTTCCCTCACCATCTTCCCTCTAAGACACCACTTTATGATAGACATGCTGATGTACAAACTCACCTTGAGAATGGGGGTCTGTGTTTTGCATGATTTTAACAAACTCCTCATCCATCCGCTCCACCAAGGTCAAGATGCATCCACGTATGCGAAGGGGCTGGCCATGGAAAAGCAAAAAGGAGGGAGTGGGATCAGGACTAGTAGACTTAGCTTAGCTTTCTCCAGTGTGGAACTTTCCTAGTGCACTGAGTTACAATCACCATCATTCCCAAGTAGGAGGATATTGAGGTGATCGGACTGTCAATGCAGCATTCTTGGAGAAGTGGCATAAATAAAAACTTTTTTCTTGGTCTGCCAGTGCAGCAGCATCCTCTTTGATGTTTGCAGATTTCATTCAGCCCTCCCTACAAGTAGTCCTTAACTTAGGACTGCAACAGAGCCTGGAATTTTCATTCATGTATCACGACGGCTGTTGAGGCATCCATGTGACCAACCTGATTTTATTTTATTTTATTTGTGATGGTCATTAAGGCAATCCATTGTCTGCAATGGGTGTTTTTTTGGCCAAACATCGGAACTTGACTTCAGTTTCCAGGAAAAACCTTTGTAAATCGTGATCGTATGACCACAGGATGCTGCAAACAGCTACAAATGTGGGACAGGTGCCAAGCACCCAAAATGTGATCGTATGACCACAGGAGGGGATGGCAGCCATTGGAACTTTGAATCCAGATTGTGAGTACCTTTTGGGGGAATCCATCTTAACTCTGAATGGGTACTAAGCAGCCAGTCATAAGTCAAGGACTACCTATATAACTTGTTGCAGGATTGTTTATTGGCAGGGAGGAGCTGCAGAAACCAACCTGCTCAGTGTTGGCCAGGTTTTCAGAATCTTCTGCAATGTTCTGTCCGATGAAGATGTTGGGATGTGCAAAGAGGATGTCCAGAAGCTCATCAATGTAGCTGAGACATTTTTGCCACATCTCTGGCTGCAAACAAGGAGAGAATAAAGAGGAACTCATTAACAACTTTGGTATTATAGGAATGAAACAACCAATCTTCCGTGTCGTGTATCTCACAGCCAATACGGGCAAGGAACAACATATTGCGGCACACCAGAATTAATCCAGCTTACCTTCTTTCCTTATTCCCCCATACCTTCATGTATGTAGCTAAGTTGGGATTGTAGTCATATAAAGAGGCAACGATGTTGAACTTGATTTTGAGGTCAATGGCCACCCCCAGGTTGTTCTCTGCTGCAATTCCAACCAAAAGCTGCAGAAGATCGATCTGGGCAGCTCTGTGGAAGATCACAGAAAGGGTAGAGACTACTGTGGCAGTAAGTGTGAGGAGATGGCAGGTTATTATTTTGAGTTACTTCCTCAAACTCAGCACAGCTTACTGGACTTTGTTCTAAAGCCTTTAACTAACCTCATTTTCATAAGCTCTGCAGTGGTCTAAGAGTCGAAAGACTGCAAGCAGCCTAGTCAGTGCCACATAGGGCATCCCAGCACCTCATCTGTAGCTCCCAGAACACTATAAGATCATGCCACCAAAGTTCAGCAACAAAAATGTCAATTTTGAAAGGCTTTTGTTTGCTCAGTTTGGAAGTTTGGGAGTGTAAGAGTAGACATTGGAAATCTATGAAGCCAAAGCTCTAACGTAAAAGAGGATGGAAATCTTTGGCCACGCCCCTTCTTATGCAGAAGTCCTTCTCAAACTTGTCTGACAGGTCAAGAGGCTGGATTATAACCCCAACTTGGAACATGTGGCTCCTCCTTTCTGTCTAGTCTGGCTTGATGCAAACAAGCCACAACAAACTCTAGACACAAGCCTTATGCCCACTTCCATGGTGTGGGGATAAAAAGTTCAAAAAAAGTCAGTTCCCCATTTCAAATAGCTGTCCTTTAGCATGCCACAAGTCTGGATGATTTACCATTGTTTCTTGAGGTTGGATAATAGAATAAGCTTCTTCAGTTCTGAAGAAGCTTCTGAGATGAGAAGCGAAATGTCTTCAAAGGAAAAACAAAGAAAGTCCAGTTGCCTCTTGAAAAAGCACCTTTGGGACAACCATTACCCGGATGACTGAGAATCTCCATAGACATTAATCAAATTCTATCCCCAATTACTCATTATTACTACACACTAGTATAAACTTACTGTGACTCTAAAATAACATTAAAAGACATACAGATATTTTTTTTTAAATATATCAATATTTGTTATACATATTTTTGTTTAAAATTTTTAATCAAAAGCTACATGATAATTTTTCTCTTCATACTTTCTCTGAATATAATCTATCCATCTTCTCCACATTGAGATAAATTTCTCCTGAGAATGATCCTTCAGGTACGCGGATATTTTTGCCATCTCTGCAAAATACGATACTTTCTGTCTCCAATCATCCATAGTTGGTAACATCTTTTTTTTCCAATTTTGAGCAATTAAGATCCTTGCTGCTGTTATACAATA